ATGGCCACCAGCCAGGGAGGTGTGATGGCCACCAGCCAGGGAGGTGTGATGGCCACCAGCCAGGGAGGTGTGATGGCCACCAGCCAGGGAAGTGTGATGGCCACCAGCCAGGGAGGTGTGATGGCCTCCAGCCAGGGAGGTGTGATGGCCACCAGCCAGGGAGGTGTGATGGCCACCAGCCAGGGAGGTGTGATGGCCACCAGCCAGGGAGGTGTGATGGCCACCAGCCAGGGAGGTGTGATGGCCTCCAGTCAGGGAGGTGTGATGGCCTCCAGCCAGGAAGGTGTGATGGCCACCAGCCAGGGAGGTGTGATGGCCACCAGCCAGGGAGGTGTGATGGCCTCCAGCCAGGGAGGTGTGATGGCCACCAGCCAGGGAGGTGTGATGGCCACCAGCCAGGGAGGTGTGATGGCCACCAGCCAGGGAGGTGTGATGGCCTCTAGTCAGGGAGGTGTGATGGCCTCCAGCCAGGGAGATGTGATGGCCACCAGCCAGGGAGGTGTGATGGCCACCAGCCAGGGAGGTGTGATGGCCACCAGCCAGGGAGGTGTGATGGCCACCAGCCTGGGAGGTGTGATGACCACCAGCCAGGGAGGTGTGATGGCCACAAGCCAGGGAGGTGTGATGGCCACAAGCCAGGGAGGTGTGATGGCCACCAGCCAGGGAGGTGTGATGGCCACCAGCCAGGGAGGTGTGATGGCCACCAGCCAGGGAGGTGTGATGGCCACCCGCCAGGGAGGTGTGATGGCCTCCAGCCAGGGAGATGTGATGGCCACCAGCCAGGGAGGTGTGATGACCACCAGCCAGGGAGGTGTGATGGCCACCAGCCAGGGAGGTGTGATGGCCACCAGCCAGGGAGGTGTGATGGCCACCAGCCAGGGAGGTGTGATGGCCACCAGCCAGGGAGGTGTGATGGCCACCAGCCAGGGAGGTGTGATGGCCACCAGCCAGGGAGGTGATGGCCACCAGCCAGGGAGGTGTGATGGCCACCAGCCAGGGAGGTGTTATGGCCACCAGCCAGGGAGGTGTGATGGCCACCAGCCAGGGAGGTGTGATGGCCACCAGCCAGGGAGGTGTGATGGCCACCAGCCAGGGAGGTGTGATGGCCTCCAGCCAGGGAGGTGTGATGGCCACCAGCCAGGGAGGTGTGATGGCCACCAGCCAGGGAGGTGTGATGGCCACCAGCCAGGGAGGTGTGATGGCCTCCAGCCAGGGAGGTGTGATGGCCTCCAGCCAGGGAGGTGTGATGGCCTCCAGCCAGGGAGGTGTTATGGCCACCAGCCAGGGAGGTGTGATGGCCACCAGCCTGGGAGGTGTGATGGCCACCAGCCAGGGAGGTGTGATGGCCACAAGCCAGGGAGGTGTGATGGCCACAAGCCAGGGAGGTGTGATGGCCACCAGCCAGGGAGGTGTGATGGCCACCAGCCAGGGAGGTGTGATGGCCACCAGCCTGGGAGGTGTGATGGCCACCAGCCAGGGAGGTGTGATGGCCACAAGCCAGGGAGGTGTGATGGCCACAAGCCAGGGAGGTGTGATGGCCACCAGCCAGGGAGGTGTGATGGCCACAGCCAGGGAGGTGTGATGGCCACCAGCCAGGGAGGTGTGATGGCCTCCAGCCAGGGAGGTGTGATATCCTCCAGCCAGGGAGGTGTGATGGCCTCCAGCCAGGGAGGTGTGATGGCCTCCATCCAGGGAGGTGTGATGGCCACCAGCCAGGGAGGTGTGATGGCCACCAGCCAGGGAGGTGTGATGGCCTCCAGCCAGGGAGGTGTGATGGCCTCCAGCCAGGGAGGTGTGATGGCCTCCAGCCAGGGAGGTGTGATGGCCTCCAGCCAGGGAGGTTGTGATGGCCTCCAGCCAGGGAGGTGTGATGGCCACCAGCCAGGGAGGTGTGATGGCCTCCCAGCCAGGGAGGTGAGATGGCCCCAGCCAGGGAGGTGTTATGGCCTCCAGCCAGGGAGGTGTGATGGCCACCAGCCAGGGAGGTGTGATGGCCACCAGCCAGGGAGGTGTGATGGCCACCAGCCAGGGAAGTGTGATGGCCCCAGCCAGGGAGGTGTGATGGCCTCCAGCCAGGGAGGTGTGATGGCCACCAGCCAGGGAGGTGTGATGGCCACCAGCCAGGGAGGTGTGATGGCCACCAGCCAGGGAGGTGTGATGGCCACCAGCCAGGGAGGTGTGATGGCCCCAGTCATGGAGGTGTGATGGCCTCCAGCCAGGAAGGTGTGATGGCCACCAGCCAGGGAGGTGTGATGGCCACCAGCCAGGGAGGTGTGATGGCCTCCAGCCAGGGAGGTGTGATGGCCACCAGCCAGGGAGGGTGTGATGGCCACCAGCCAGGGAGGTGTGATGGCCACCAGCCAGGGAGGTGTGATGGCCTCCAGCCAGGGAGGTGTGATGGCCTCCAGCCAGGGAGGTGTGATGGCCTCCAGCCAGGGAGGTGTGATGGCCTCCAGCCAGGGAGGTGTGATGGCCACCAGCCAGGGAGGTGTGATGGCCTCCAGCCAGGGAGGTGAGATGGCCTCCAGCCAGGGAGGTGTTATGGCCACCAGCCAGGGAGGTGTGATGGCCACCAGCCAGGGAGGTGTGATGGCCACCAGCCAGGGAGGTGTGATGGCCACCAGCCAGGGAAGTGTGATGGCCACCAGCCAGGGAGGTGTGATGGCCTCCAGCCAGGGAGGTGTGATGGCCACCAGCCAGGGAGGTGTGATGGCCACCAGCCAGGGAGGTGTGATGGCCACCAGCCAGGGAGGTGTGATGGCCACCAGCCAGGGAGGTGTGATGGCCTCCAGTCATGGAGGTGTGATGGCCTCCAGCCAGGAAGGTGTGATGGCCACCAGCCAGGGAGGTGTGGATGGCCTACCAGCCAGGGAGGTGTGATGGCCTCCAGCCAGGGAGGTGTGATGGCCACCAGCCAGGGAGGTGTGATGGCCACCAGCCAGGGAGGTGTGTGATGGCCACCAGCCAGGGAGGTGTGATGGCCTCTAGTCAGGGAGGTGTGATGGCCTCCAGCCAGGGAGAGGTGTGATGGCCACCAGCCAGGGAGGTGTGATGGCCACCAGCCAGGGAGGTGTGATGGCCACCAGCCAGGGAGGTGTGATGGCCACCAGCCAGGGAGGTGTGATGGCCACCAGCCAGGGAGGTGTGATGGCCACAGCCAGGGAGGTGTGATGGCCACAAGCCAGGGAGGTGTGATGGCCACCAGCCAGGGAGGTGTGATGGCCACCAGCCAGGGAGGTGTGATGGCCACCAGCCAGGGAGGTGTGATGGCCACCAGCCAGGGAGGTGTGATGGCCACCAGCCAGGGAGGTGTGATGGCCACCAGCCAGGGAGGTGTGATGGCCACCAGCCAGGGAGGTGTGATGGCCTCCAGCCAGGGAGATGTGATGGCCACCAGCCAGGGAGGTGTGATGACCACCAGCCAGGGAGGTGTGATGGCCACCAGCCAGGGAGGTGTGATGGCCTCCAGCCAGGGAGGTGTGATGGCCACCAGCCAGGGAGGTGTGATGACCACCAGCCAGGGAGGTGTGATGGCCATCAGCCAGGGAGGTGTGATGGCCACCAGCCAGGGATGGGCGGAGTGTGATGACCACCAGCCAGGGAGGTGTGATGGCCACCAGCCAGGGAGGTGTGATGGCCACCAGCCAGGGAGGTGTGATGGCCATCAGCCAGGGAGGTGTGATGGCCACCAGCCAGGGAGGTGTGATGGCCACCAGCCAGGGAGGTGTGATGGCCATCAGCCAGGGAGGTGTGATGGCCACCAGCCAGGGAGGTGTGATGACCACCAGCCAGGGAGGTGTGATGGCCACCAGCCAGGGAGGTGTGATGGCCACCAGCCAGGGAGGTGTGATGGCCACCAGCCAGGGAGGTGTGATGATAGAAGTGCATAGGAGTGCACAGGAGTTCATGGGAGGACATGAAAGTGCAAAGGACTTCGAGGAAGTACACGGGAGTGCACTGGGAGGACATAGAAGTGAGCGAGGAAGTGCATGGGTGTGTATGGGAGTACATGGAAGTGATTAGAATAGATGGAAGTGCATAAGATTCAATAAGAGTGCACGGGAGTGCACTTAACACCCAGATTACCGAATCTTTAAGCGCACGTCCAAGCTGTCTGCTGAGAGGGACAATTTACTTCTGTATCCATGGAGAACTATATACCATTATCAGTTTCTTCGACAGCAAGAGAATAAGGCAGAAACCTTGGCGCTCCACACGACGTTTCGCTCCATCCTGGACTATTAAAAAAAAACACATGAGAAAGAAACAAAAAGATAAAAGCGAGCCAGTAGACAGGTGGAGAAGAAAGGTGAGAAAGTAAACCAGGAAAAGAGAGAGAAAAAACTCAAGACATTTTCTTTTAAATAAACAAAAGTCTCAGCTGTATTACTGCGGTCTTTTATTTATTGCCCAATTGTTTCTTACGATTTTATTTTGCTTTTGTTTATCTTATTGACTTGAAGACAGCGGGAATGTTTTCAGTTGTACGTGTGTGTGTTTAGGTAAGTGTGAAGGGAGGTAGGGGAGGTGGTAGTGGCAAAGGGAGAGTTAGGGGGAGGCAGTGGGTGAGTTAGGGGAAGAGGAGGTAAGGGGAACTGCTAAATGGTAAGATGAATGATAGGGAGGGTGAAAGGGAGGCAGGGGGAGGGGACGCAGGGAGAAAGGACAGTCAAAGGGAAGGGAAGGGGAAAGGGGGTAAGGACGGTCAAAGGAGAGGGAAGGTGAGAGGGGGTTAGGACGGTCAAATGGGAGGGAAGGGGAAAGGGGGTAAGGACGGTCAAAGGGGAGGGAAGGGGAGAGGGGGGTAAGGACGGTCAAAGGGGAGGGAAGGGGAAAGGGGGTAAGGACGGTCAAAGGGGAGGGAAGGGGAAAGGGGGTAAGGACGGTCAAAGGGGAGGGAAGGGGAAAGGGAGTAAGGACGGTCAAAGGGGAGCGAAGGGGAAAGGGGGTAAGGACGGTCAAAGGGTGAGCAAGGGGGAGGTGTGTGTAGCGCAGTGCAGGTTGAACCTGGCCAGAGTGAGGACGTGTGAGTAGTGTTGTTGTGAACCTCTCCCTCTCCCTCATCCCTCTCTCCCTCATCCTTCCATCCCTACAGACAACCTCTCTCAACCAGTCACTCTGGTGTCTGAAGTGTACAAAATCAACCAAACTCTACCTGAACAAAACTTAGAAATTAAAAAAAAAAATGACGCGAGTTTTTTTGACTTTTCTGTGGTTTTATCGCATTTTTTCTTGTTCGTTCATAGTTCTGTAAATTATCGTCCACTGAACAAATTTATAAGTGTAAAATTTACATTTACTTATCACGTGTAGTTATCGTTGCAAAAACTGCCACACTAGTATGCAATTTTTTGCACATTTTTAGTAAGAACTCAAATCCCTATGTTTTTTGACAAGTGTTTTAACCAAGTTAATTTCTTGCCTGAAGTTTATTGTTATATTAATATATATTTTACGTTATCTTCAGTTTAAAATAGCCGCGTGGACATTTAGAATTGTTATCGTGGGATTGAAACCAGAGTTAGAACTGTGGAGGTTAAGAGAATAACAGCCCTAGACGGGTGAGTTATCAGTTATCTTGGAAGTACAGCGGAGGATGTTATAAGTGAGGATGACTCTGGTGCTGAGAGCGTGAAGAGACAACTGTTAGAAGTGTCTCTCAGCCTGGCGCAAGTGTGTGTTGATAGCTTGTTGACAGAGCAAGATGAGAGGTGCTTCCAGCACTGGTACCAGTACCTGTCCCTGCACTGGTCCCAGCACTGGTCCTAGCACTGGTCCTAGCACCAGTAGCGGTGGTACACACACACCACAACACGCTGGAATTAAGTCATCTCTGCTGCTGCTGCTGTTACTGCCCTCTGCTGCTACGACTGCTGTGATGCTGCTGCTTCTGCTGCTGCTAGCTTCCGTGACTGCTGCAGGTGAGAAATGAAAGAATCTGAAGGAGAAGGAGGAGGAGGGGCGCCAAAACACCAGCATGGTTAACGAGGATTCACCAGGTCCTCGTGTATATATCTATTTGCAATTAACTCTCTTGGGTTGAGCTCTAGCTCTCAGCCCTGTCCCTTTGTACCCACTGACAGGGATGAGCCTGGTCGTACCTGTTCGTAAAGCTCTGTTTGAAGTGTGCTTTCACCGTGTTGTTGTTCAGATCCTTGTGCTGCTGCTTCGTGTGTGTGTGTGTGTGTGTGTGTGTGTGTGTGTGTGTGTGTGTGTGTACTCACCTAATTGTACTCACCTAATTGTGGTTGCAGGGGTCGAGACTCAGCTCCTGGCCCCGCCTCTTCACTGATTGCTACTAGGTCCTCTCTCTCTCTCTCTCTCTGCTTCCTGAGCTTTGTCATACCTCTTCTTAAAACTATGTATGGTTCCTGCCTCCACTACTCCACTTGCTAGGCTATTCCACTTCCTGACAACTCTATGACTGAAGAAATACTTCCTAACGTCCCTGTGACTCGTCTGAGTCTTCAGCTTCCAGTTGTGACCCCTTGTTCCTGTGTCCCCTCTCTGGAACATCCTATCTCTGTCCACCTTATCTTGTATGTCGTTATCATGTCTCCCCTGACCCTTCTGTCCTCCAGTGTCGTCAGTCCGATTTCCCTCAACCTTTCCTCGTACGACATTCCCCTGAGCTCTGGGACTAGCCTTGTTGCAAACCTTTGTAATTTCTCTAACTTCTTGATGTGCTTGACCAGGTGTGGGTTCCAGACTGGTGCTGCATACTCCAGTATGGGCCTAACATACACAGTGTACAGTGTCTTGAACGATTCCTTATTTAGGTATCGGAACGTTATTCTCAGGTTTGCCAGGCGCCCGTATGCTGCAGCAATTATTTGGTTGATGTGTGCCTCCGGTGACGTGCTCGGTGTTATGGTCACCCCGAGGTCTTTCTCCCTGAGTGAGGTCTGTAGTCTTTGTCCACCTAGCCTATACTCTGTCTGCGGTCTTCTTTGCCCTCCCCAATCTTCATGACTTTGCATTTGGCTGGATTGAATTCGAGAAGCCAGTTTCTGGACCACATGTCCAGCCTGTCCAGGTCTCTTTGCAGTCCTGCCTCATCCTCATCCGATTTAATTCTTCTCATCAACTTCACATCATCTGCGAATAGGGACACTTCAGAGTCTATTCCTTCCATCATGTCGTTCGCAAATATCAAAAATAGCACTGGCCCTAGAACTGACCCCTGTGGGACCCCGCTCGTCACAGGCGCCCACTGTGATACCTCTTCACGTACCATGACTCGTTGCTGCCTCCCTGTCAGGTATTCCCTGATCCATTGCAGTGCCTTCCCTGTTACTTGCGCCTGATCCTCCAGCTTCTGCACTAATCTCTTGTGGGGAACTGTGTCAAAGGCCTTCCTGCAGTCTAGGAAAAAGCAATCAACCCACCCCTCTCTCTCGTGTCTTACTTCTGTTACCTTGTCATAAAACTCCAGGAGGTTTGTGATACAGGATTTGCCATCCATGAACCCATGCTGGTTTTCATTTATAATCTTGTTCCGTTCCAGGTGTTCCACCACTCTCCTCCTGATAATCTTCTCCATGACTTTGCACACAATACATGTCAGAGACACAGGTCTGTAGTTTAGCGCCTCGTTTCTGTTTCCTTTCTTAAATATGGGGACTACATTTGCTGTCTTCCATTTCTCAGGTAGTTGCCCAGTTTCAAGGGATGTGTTTAAGATTGTGGTTAGAGGCATGCACAGCATCTCTGCTCCTTCTCTAAGGACCCATGGGGAGATGTTGTCCGGTCCCATCGCCTTTGAGGTATCAAGGTCACTTAGCAGCTTCTTCACCTCCTCCTCGGTTGTTCGTATGTCATCCAACACTTGGTGGTATATTCCCTCTTGATGTTCTCTTCTGTACTGACTTCCCACAGCCCTTCCTGTCTCTACTGTAAAAACTTCCTTAAATATCCTGTTTAGCTCCTCACATACCTCCTGGTCATTTCTTGTGAGTTCTCCCCCTTCTGTCCTTAATCTGATAACCTGGTCTTTGACTGTTGTCTTCCTCCTGATGTGGCTATACAACAGTTTCGGGTCAGTCTTGATTTTCGATGCTATGTCATTTTCATACTGTCGGTGGGCCTCACTCCTTACCTGTGCGTACTCGTTCCTGGCTCTGCGACTGATCTCCCTATTTTCGTGTGTTCTCTGCCTTCTGTACTTTTTCCATTCTCTATTGCACTTTGTTTTTGCCTCCTTACACAGTCGGGTAAACCAGGGGCTTGTTCTGGTCTTCCCGTTGTTACTGTTGCCCTTGGGAATAAACCTTTCCACTGCCTCCTTGCATTTTGTTGTTACATAGTCCATCATTTCATTTACTGGCTTTCCTGCCAGTTCTCTGTCCCATGGGACCTCCTGCAGGAAGTTCCTCAACCCTATGTAGTCCCCTCTTTTATAGTCAGGCTTTTCCCATTCAACTCCTGTTACTCTCTCCACTTGCAGCTCTACTATATATTCAAAGCACAGAACCACGTGGTCTCTAGCTCCTAGGGGACTCTCATACATGATGTCCTCAATGTCTGAACTGCCCAGGGTGACCACAAGGTCCAATCTTGCTGGTTTATCCTCCCCTCTCACTCTGGTAGTGTCCTTAACATGTTGGTGCATGAGGTTTTCCAGCACCACGTCCATCATCTTGGCTCTCCATGTTTCGGGACCCCCATGTGGCTCCAGGTTTTCCCTGTCAATCTCCCTGTGGTTGAAATCCCCCATAACCAGCAACTTTGCTCTGCTGGAGTGAACTCTTCTTGCCACACTCAGCAAGTGTGTCCACCATTGCTCTGTTGCTCTCTTCATATTCCTCTCTTGGCCTCCTGCAGTTCTGTGGTGGATTATACATCACTGCAATGACCACCTTGTGTTCCCAGACTGAAGTGTGCCTACTATGTAGTCTCTCTCTCCCATCTCATCTACGCCTTCCATTTTCTCGAATTTCCATCTGTTTTTTACTAGCAGAGCAACCCCACCTCCCCCTCTGCCCCTTCTATCTTTCCTCATGATCTGGTATCCTGGTGGGAAGATTGCATCTGTTATTGTCCCCGTGAGTTTTGTCTCTGTAACTGCTATGATGTCTGGGGACTTCTCATTGATTCTTTCTTGCCATTCCTCATGTTTATTCGTTAGTCCATCTGCATTTGTGTACCAAACCTTCAACTTCTGTTCTAATACTGTAACTGTGGTGTAGGGGGTGGGAACAGAGGGATCGGTGTGTGATGGTTGGTTTGAATTGTTCAGTTGCCTTGGGGGTGTCGTGGCTGGAGTCCTTCTGCAGGTGTTTCTGGGGGGTGTGCTTATCCTTCCACTTGTTCCTGGGTTATTCTGCTCTCCTTTTTCATTTCCTCCCATTTCTCCTTTCGTTTCTGAACTCTCTCTTTCATCGTCCTCCTTTCCTCCTGTGTTCTGTCTCGATCGAGGTACACACTCATGAACTCCTGCCTGCCTCTCAGCCGTGTGTGTGTGTGTGTGTGTGTGTGTGTGTGTGTGTGTGTGTGTGTTGTGTGTGTGTGTGTGTGTGTGTGTATGTGTGTGTGTGTGTGTGTGTGTGTGTGTGTGTGTGTGTTTGTGTGTGTATGTGTGTGTGTGTGTGTGTGTGTGTGTGTGTGTGTGTCGTCTGTGTGTGTGTGTGTGTGTGTGTGTGTGTGTGTGTGTGTGTGTGTGTGTGTGTGTGTGTGTGAGTGTGTGTTCCTCTATGTATTAATTTATGTAAGGATTATCTACGTTATTATCAAGTCTTCGTTAATCCATAACTTCTCTACAGCCGTCAGTTTCCACTCTTTCCGCCTCTGCTCGACGTAGAGAAGTCATATTGTACACTTGTAGACTTTCTCTGGTTTGATAAATTTTGATCAGTCGTGGGCTCCAAGCAGGTGCTGCATACTCTACGTTAGAATTCATACAAGTCGTACACAGGGTCCCGTACACTGTGTGCTTGATGTGACCTTCGGTGACATGCTCGCTTGTATATTTCTCCACACATCTTCTTACTGGAGGCCTGCAGCCTTTCTCTCCCAGTATAAACTCTGTCTCACACTTCCTGTCTCTTCTCCCCGAACATTTTTGACTTCCTGTCCCCGTAGCTTGATCGGTAGCGCACTCAGCTCACACACTGGTCCGGAGGTCGATCCCCGGTACTGCTGTCCCTATTTGCTAGCAGTAAAATAGGTACCTGTTAGTTGACTGGTGTGGGTCGCATCCTGGGTTAAAACTGACCTTTCTATATAGTAGTATGTTATTGATGTCAGCTAGGACTGTATACCTTGTACATGTACTTGTACATGTACTTGTACATGTACTTGTAGAAATAAAAATTTATTATTATTATTATTATTATTATTATTATTATTATTATTATTATTATTATTATTATTATTATTATTATTATTATTATTATTATTATTAATTCCAGTAGCTATCTGCCACACCGTTCCCGTGGTCAGTCCAGCACTTCCCTCGTCCTGTCTCCAAGTGTTCTTCAGTTTTCTATCGTCTAATTACCTCGCCATCTTCTATATACAACAAACTATAGGAACGTTATATCTCCTGGGCCATCGTGTTCTCACAGGAGGAAGCAGTGGTGCTGGTGGTGTTTCGTCTTCAGTGTTTGTTGTGATAGATGATAAGTGGAGCTTGGTATCTGGTCCCCTTTCCCAGACTGACACTGTCAGCTCCCAGGCGGTGCATTTTTAACCTCAGCTGGTGGAGTATATATACCAGTGTGTACGGTTCCCCAGCGGGTTGTAAATACGTTACAGCGGGTTGTAAATCCCTTTCTACAGTGGTGAAAAATACCTCTACGCTGGTGTAATACCTTTTACAGCTGGTGTATTTTATTTTCCCCAAGAAAATTTTCTCTGTATTCCACCCCCTTTGGGTTTGTATATAATGAACAGCTGGTCCCAAAACAAAAACCCGCGGTGG